GTCCCCCCACCGCTCCGCCACCCCGCCCACGATGTTGCCAGCAAGGCCCCAAGCGCTCAGACGCTTGGAAATCGTCACTTCGAATTTGCTGGGGTAGAGATTGAGGCGGAGGAAGGAGGAGACAGTACGTTGAAGTTTGGGCTTCTTGCCCACCGCTCGTGCCGCACGGGTTTCCATGCGACCTGCCGCCTGCGAAGCTTTCCACTGGACGATCGGAATGCCTCGGCGCGGCGGGCGATTCACTAGATCAGCAAAACGCTGGGCGATCCCCTGCTTTTGGATCCAGCAGGGGGCGCTCCACTCTCCTTTGAGCCAGCCGACGACGGTGCAGGTTAGCGCCGCCGTTTCGCGCCACTTGTCGAGCTCTGCTGCCCAATCGGTTATCGTGAGAGTGGAGCAGCGCCACATACTAGCCGCACCTAGGATCAGAGCGGACTGCGGGGCCACTAAACCGTGTCCCGTGAACGAGAAAACATCTGCTTTACGAAACGTGCTGGGCGGAAGCCGAAGGACTTTGTGGATGGCATATTTTTCCTTCATGAGGGCTTCGCGATCCATCGGGAAAAGCTGGGCAAGGTAGCTCAACGTAGATAACGCTGTACTATTGTATAGCAGCAGACTGACGCTAGTGGGGCTCTCGGTTTTGGGGATGTCAAACGAACGAGACCACCACTTGGCGACCGCTTCCTTCCAGACAAGCGCCTCCGAAGCCCCAGGACCGAACTGGACCCCAAGGTATTTGGCGAAGGAAGCGATCTTCATGCTGGCCCACTGGGGAATATGCTCACGCAGGAACCCCCGAATTCGTGCTACGACTGCATCTGAGAGCTCCGTCCAAAGAGGGGCGATGACAGTTTTGGAGGTCTGGAGGCGGAGCTTGGCAAGCTCCTCTGCATCCTGAAAGACTGGAGCGACGCGACAAAGGTCCTGGAGTCTGGGTTGAGCTAGGCCTGTGTCGTCCGCACACCCACCCACCTCCCCACGCCAGTCCCCAAGAGAAGGATCAGCGGCTTGCTCAACCAGACATCTCAGGATGGGGTCCATTGCTAGTGCCCAGACCGAGCCTGAAAGGGGGCACCCTTGCATGACTCCAGACTGCAGGTAAAAGAGAAATTGTTTGGATCCCTGGACAGAGGCGAATCCGCGTGGCCCGAAATACAGGGAGCCGATGAATTTCTGGTAGCCTTGCGGAAAGCCTGACCGAGCTAAAACCGCCCAACGCCAGTCGTGTCCGAGGCTTGGGAAGGCTGCAGCTATGTCGAATGCGACAAACACTGGGGCGTGTACGTCCGCATTCGGCTGTACACTCATTCTACGCGCTGCGCTATCTAAACGAATGATGTTCCCGACAAAGTTGCGGCCAGGAACAAAACTTTGCTGGACCACATGGGTCCGAGACTGGACCAGGGCCTTGATTCTATGGTTGGCCGCAGAGGCCAAAATCTTGGAGTCCGAATTACGTAGCGACAGCGGCCGAATTTGAGAGGGCTTTCTGATGCACTCATATGCATCTAGGGGCTCAGAACCTTTGGGAAGGAAAGCGAACAGGGAATCGTTCAGATCCTCGGGGACGTAGTCACCTGCGAAGAGGTGCAGCATCAGGCCGTGGAGGGTGTACAACTGTTCCTCTGCTACCATCCATGCACGATATGGTAACCTATCGGGACCTGGCGAAGAGCGACGAACACGTTTGAGGGTAGCCCGGAGATCTTCAACACTCGGGATCGGGATCGGGACCTCGGGGACCGCCGGGTAGACTCTGTCCAGGTGGGCCTCGATTTTGTTTTTGTCGGCGGAGTTGTAGCGGAAAACCTTCCCCCAGTAGGCTGCGAGAGCTTCGTGAGCTTCGGTGGGGCCTCGAACGACAGGGGCCTCGGGATTCTCTAGAGAGTGTTCTGGACGGATACCTGCCAGCACCATCCTGCGGCCCTTCGGCTTCCAGAGGAAGGCCCTGCGGCGACCAGCACGAACTTGGCGAAAATGCGCTTCAGCTGCAGGTTGGTCTCCAGCTCGTTGCGCAGCTTGTGCGGCTTGGGCAGCACGATACTGCATGGCCTCCAGCTCCGCGGAGTGCGACGAGCGGAAGAGGTTGCGAAAGACGTCCGCATTCTGGAGCCTGACCCCATCCTCATCGATGTGAAGAAAGCGCTTGCCATCCTCGGTGGTTGATACCAGAAGAGCTGCTTGCCGTAGGTCCTGCTTCCACACGGCTCTTGAAATACTGCGAAGTGTAATGTTGCGGCCACCTCGTGCACGTTTGTCGCCAGGTCGATATGGTAGCCGCTGGAGCTCATCTCGGGTTTGACGAGCGGTCTCAATCATGAGCTGTTTCATGTACGTCCACTTCAGCACAGGCGGGAACCTTTCCAAGCCACTCGCGTTGATGAGGCTGTCGAGTATGGTCTTGTACCGCTCGTCCGTGAAGACCGCATCTGGGATGCGCTGCGCCTCCTCTGGAATGTTTTGCTTGGCTCTGAAGGTGGCGTGGATGATGGAGTGGTCGCTCAAGCGCGACTGGGCCATTTCCACTGGGTCCATGGCAACAGAGTGATGGATGTCCGTGGCGATCAGGTAGTGCTCTGGCGTGCTGACAAAGAGCCGATCGATGGCCGACGCGGTGTAGTGCTGCCTGCTGAAATACGTTGGGACCTCCGAGCGGATCTCCTGCATAGTGTCGAAGAGGGTTCGCCAGAAAGCTTCTGCGGGTTGGTATGTACGTAGCGTCCGTAGCCGAGCCTGATCAGGTAGCGGGTGATCATATGACAAAGGGACGCCCTCTCGGATGTTGAAGTCACCTATGGCGAAGAACGTGCGCTCTAGGTGGTTGCTGCTTGCCCATTGAAGATTCTCCATCCATTTATTGTTGATAACAGTCTTGTCGGTCGGGGAGATGTTGTAGTTGTGAACATTCATGTAGTTGTGAACATTCATGAACATTCATGACGCGCATTTGATGATGATGATGATGATGAGGAGGATGAGGAGGAGGATGAGGAGGATATGGGAGGATGAAGAGAGAGGAGGATGAGGAGGAGGGACAGACTGGGATGGAGGAGGGGAACATGTGGGGAAGAGAAAGGGGTTGAGATAACAGAAACATATGCCTCCCTCCCTCTACCGTCCCGCGACCTATCGCCCTTCGCTTTGCTTTCCCGATGGCAGGTTGAGACATCGGCGGTTCGCCCGCTCAGCCAGGATCTGCAACATCAGTGCTCGGACCCCTCCCAAGGTCCATCCTGGCCCGTGCCTCGAGGCGGGCCAGCCGCGGCGACGAGGAGCCCCCGTCGTCATGGCCTTCGCCGCGCAGGCCGTCGCCAAGGCCCAGGGGGTGGCGGACGCGCCAGTCTTGGCCTGGAGGCCCAAGCACAGCGAAAAGCGCAAGGGCGGACCCCCTGGCTTTCCTCCGAGCTTCCGCCCTGGGCGTGGGACAAATGGGAGGGCCATCACTGGCCATTGCTCGGACGTCCATTCCCTGTGTGTTTTTTTCTGTTTCGTGCGTGGTTTTTTCGCCCAATGATCAAGGATGCTCCTCGATGGTCCTCGCCGAAGGAAAAATACACACGTCCGAGCGATGCCAAGATCACTGTGGGGGCGAGTGCACCCTTCGTGCTCCTCTTGGGCCCCAGAGGGCCTCTTCAGGGCCCCTTTGGGGCACCAACGGCGCGCCGTTCTTCACGCCGCCCCCGCAGTCGACCCGCTGACGGGGGCGGCCCCGCCCGCCCGCCACGGCAGTCGCCCCGCCCGCCCCGGCAGTCGACCCCCTGACGGGGGCTCCACTGACGAGTACGTTGGCCAGTGATCCGGCGAACCCGAGCCTTCCCGATGCGGGCAGCGCTGCACTGCCCGACACAGGCCACAGCGTGGCAGCACTCGGCAGGCTTCCAAGTGACCGTCGGCGAGACTAGGACGGAAGCAACTGCATCCTGCTGCAGGTACACGATCTCCCGGAGCTCCGCGCCGATCTTTCGGATCGGCGCTGGGCCTTCCCTGGCGCGCGGGTCCAGACGCCGAAGCAAGAGAGCCGCAGCGGGGCTCGGAAACTTGCGCACGCTATGCAATCTCTGCTCCGCTTCGGGAGTGCGGCAAGGTCGTGCCGTGACGGCCCTGGCGTTGTTTCCTGATACCGCGTGGATCATTCAGCCTTCGACAATCGGCGGCTTCTTCATCGCCGGGTCGCTCCACATTGGCAGATTCTGGGCCACTGGCGGCGTTCAACCTTATACGCCCACGGCGGGCTCGCTGCCGCGCGGGCACGACACGAACCTGCCGAACGGCAGATTCGAGTCGTGCCGATTTCAGCGCTGGTTCCTGACACCGTGGAATTCGTTCAACCTTCGACGATCGGCCGTTTCCGTACCCGTTGCGGTGCCGAACCCGTTTCCGTCAGCACGACACGAACCTGCCGTACCCGTTGCGGTGCCGCTGATCTAAGGGGCACCGATAGATGGGGGATAGGCAGAGGGGGGATGCATCGACCTCGAATGGACGATACATCGCCCACGTATCGTCGATGCACCGTCGATGCAGACCGCCCCCTACATCGTCAATACATCGTCGATGTATCGCCCTGATATAGAAGATGCATCGCCGTTGCACTAACCATTCGAGGTCGATGCATCCCCACCCTTTGCCTATCACACCCTGCCTTGGCGGCTCGCACAGGAGGATAGGGGGAGGGGGCAAGGCTTCTCCGAAGGTGGCTCCTCTTTAGAAGGTGCCGGCCATACATCTGCAGACAAGGCCCGCGACTTCTGAGCAGCAACCTCCTCGTAAAAAAAACCGTCTCCCTCCCCTTCCCCCCCTTGCCATCGCTCGGACGTCCCTTCCCCGTGCATTCCTCAACTTTTCGCGCGTGTATTTTTCGCTGGATGCTCAAGAACGCTCCTCGATGGTCGTCGCCAAGAAAAATGCACACGTCTAAGCGATGCCACGCCCCTGTGCGCGCCGCCAGCTCTCGGTGCCCCCGAGGCGAGGACCCCCCCCGCCGGTCGCCCCGCGGCGGTCCTGGTCGGGCCTGCCCGTGATGCCGCCGCTCGCCCCCGGCACGGAGCTCAGCGCCACCGCGCCGGCGCCGGCGCCGATGCCGGACGGGGGCCTCTCTCTCGGCAGGGGAGGGGGGGCGGGGGCGGGCGGGGGATGGCGAAGGAGAGGGAGGAGGAGGAGGGAGAGGCGGAGGATGGCGGGGGGGAGGGTGGGGAGGCAAGTGGAGAGGGGCAGCAGGCGGGGGAGAGAGGATTGAGGAACAGGGGGAGGAGAAGGAGGGGCATGCAGAGGAAGAGGTGGAGGGCCGGGGGAGGGTAGGTGGAGGACGAGAAGGCGGGAGGGGGGGAAAGGTAGACGACGAGGAGGGAAAGGCGTGTAAGAGAAAGGGCGAGTGAAAGGTCGAGGACGAGAAGGTGGGAGCGGGGATAGACAAGATTCTTCCTCATCCACGCCCTTCTACCCTTCTTTCTATTATCATCCCTCGTCGCCCGAGAACGGCACGTTCAGAAGACGGCACGACCCGAAACGTGCGACACCACAAAAAGGTGGCGACTCGAGGGGATACAGATGACACGCAAACCCCTCAGAATGGTGGGCACCAAGAGTCTGATTGGCGGAGAATGCCTCGAGCGATATCCGCGATTCGAGCGCTTCCTCTCCTCCTCCTCCTCCTCCTCCTCCTCCTCCTCCTCCTCCATAACGTAGTTTTTCTCTGGTGCCCCGGGCGACGGAGATTCAGCCAGCTCTCACATCCGCCGAAGGGCTGGGAGGCGGGCGCCAGTCATCATGAGGGATCGGACCGCCCCCGACGGGAATGTTTGTTTCCCATTTTCGCCCTCCTCCTCCCTCCTCCTCCTCCTCCTCCTCCTCCTCCTCCTCCTCCTCCGCCTCCTCCACTTCCTTTTCCTCCTCCTCCTCCTCCTCCTCCCTACCCTCCTCTTCCTCCTCCACGACTATGCGGTGACCTACGTCGACTTGATCAAGTGCTTCGAGTGGGTCACCCATCGAAAGGTGTGGGAGGCGTCGCCGAGATGGGGCTTCAATCCACTCATCATGCGGACCGTCCTCAAGATCTACAGCATGGTGCGGCACATCGTCTTGGACGGGTGCTACACCGACGGCAAGGCGTGGCAGCGCGGCATCGTGGCGGGCAGCAGGTACGCACCGTTCTGTCTCAAGATGGTGATCATCCTCGAGCTGGACAGGCTGGTGCACCAGTTCCCCTGGGCGGACACGTGCCTCTTATTCGACGACCTCGCCATGGCCACGTACGACAGGCACGAGTACGTCGACGAGGTCCACCCGCGGCTCATCGAGGCCGTGGTCACCATGTTCGAAAACACGCTGGACATGGCCGTCTCGCGGGGCGCGGAGGGGAAGACGGTCACCTTGGGCTCCTCCGCCGCGCTGGGCCAGCACATCAACAAGAGTACCAGGCACCTCGGCGTGAGAGCGGTCAAGCACGAGAAGCACCTGGGAGTGACAGCAACAGCATGCAGACGGAGGAGAGTGGCCGCCATCAACAAGCGGGCGCTCAAGTTTGCGGCGAGAAAGGCACGGGTGGCAGCCGTGCGCAGAGCAGGAGGAGCGGCACACAAGCTGATTCGACAAGCCAAAGTGCCAGCCCTCCTCTACGGATCCTCCGTCGTCGGCATGGCAGACTCCAAGCTCACCGAGCTCAGGAAGAACGTGGCGGCGGCGATGGAGGGCAACAACACGGGAAGGTCCACGGCGCTCACGCTGCTGAGCGACAGGGCCGACCCAGGCATCCTCGCCAACAGTGGCCCCATCATCGCCTGGGCCACGGCGTGGCAGGAAGCGCTCGAGGACGACCAGCTGGCCGCGCGGCTCCAGAGCGCGTGGCGCACCTGGGTGATGAAGATCTACAAGTGCAAGGCCCCCTGGCTCACAGTTCGGGGGCCAACGGGGGCGTTCGTGGCGACGGTCAGGCGCCTCGGCTGGATGACGCAGGCCTCGCACACAGTCACCATCGACGGGAACGTGCTCGACCTCCGCTACACCATGCTGCAGGAGATCCAGCACCACGTCGCGCGCACCACGGAGAAACAGCTGCAGGACGAGTGGGTGAGCCAGCACGGCCGCCAGTGCGGCGTCACCTCCATCTTCCTGGCACCGGTGCAAGCACTACTACGACGACCCCATCCAGGGCCGATGGACGCAGGCCCACCGCACTCGAGTGAGGGGCCTGTTTTGCGGAGGGACGTGGCCGCAGGCGCGGCTACGCGCATCAGGAGTTGCTACCGACAGCACATGCAGAGCGTGCGGGCTGGCACCAGGCACCGACAGGCACCGCACCTTCGTGTGCCCAGTGCGCCAGCCACATCGCGACGTTGTCGGAGGCCTCCATATTCAGCAGCGAGGAGCCAACCCCTGGCCAGGCCCAGGAGCCGATGCTCTCTGGGGGCGCGGCATCACGGCCGACCCCGCCGACGAGCTCGGGCTATGGGAGCTAGCATCGTGCGACGACTGGCTCACCGAGGGCAACTGGGACGGCCTCGCGACAGGGGACATCTACGTGGACGGCTCGTTGCAGTTCGGCGACTACGCACCACTGCGACGAGGAGGATGGAGCTTCACCAAGCTCAAAGACAACGACGAGTACGACATGGACTACGTGTGCTACGGGCCCCTCCCTGGCGCACAGTGGGTCCAGGGCATCATGCGGGCGGAGCTCTACGCGCTGCTGCAGGCGCTGCGTGTGGGCACCCCGCCCATGCGCATTTTCACCGACTGCCAGAACGTCGTCGACGGCGCGAAGGCAGGACCAGCGTGGCTCGACAAGAGGAGCCGCCCGCACCTCGACCTCTGGGAGTGCATCGCACAGGCCATCGCAGAGCTCGAAGGCCTGGGCCCGCGCACCGTGCAGGCGCTGAAAGTGAAGGCCCACGCGACGCGCACCGAGCGAGCAGCTATCGGGCGCGCGCAGTGGGAGGGCAACAAAATCGCTGATCAGTATGCCAAGCAGGGAGCTCTGTATCATACCCACCCTGCTTGGTGTAGAGAGGCTTACATCCAGAAGTATCGACTGGTTCGGGACATCTTGGAATTCGGAGCCTACATAGGAGTCCTGGGCCGCGACACTGTCGACACTGAGCAGGGCTCGAGCCCGACGGACTCGAACCCCCCCGACCCCCCCTTGGACCCCCTGTACTTTCCTGGGAACCTGGGGGCGGTCGTGGGCGAGGAGGGCGGGGCCCTGGTGGCCCCTGAACCCCCTGCCCCGCCCCTGGAGGCCGACCTCCCGTCTCGGGCCGCTCTGGGCTGGGGGCGCACCAGGGTCGACAGAGCCCAGAGAGCGGGGCACAAAATAGTGACCCGCAGCACGTACGTCTTTTGCCGCAGGTGCGCCAGGTACGCCCGCGACAGGTGGACGGGCCTATTCTCTCCATGTCGCCCTGGGGCCCAAAGGGTGATCGGGGGTAGGCTGACGCGGTTGTGGAGTGGACTACACCCCTCCACCAACCAGCCCCTATAGGGGCTCCTGGAGTCGTGGGTCTGGCTCGGGGACGGGCCGAAGCGGCCCGAGGCTCCCACGGCACGAAAGCGTAGGCGGTCGTGATCCGTTTTGGCCCGCACTCATCCGCACTCATCCTCTTCCTCCTCCTCCTCCCTCCCCGAAAAATGGCCTCCAAGAGCATAAGCCTGGCTGCGGCGGGGAGAGATGACGAAGTACAGACACACCTACTCCGTTGGAGAGCCACTGCCTCGCACGATGATAGGGCTGCTGCAAATGGCGGGTAGTCCTCCCGTTGTTTTCGTTCGCCCTGGCAGCCTGTAGCAGATAATGGTCTTTGTAGCGATCTGGCGCAACGCATCGCGCTGTAACGGCAGTCCCCGCCGCGGCCCCACATTCTCGGCCTCCTCTTTCTCCTCTTTCTCCTCCTCCTCATCCTCTTCCTCTTGCCCGACCTGGCGCCAAGACCTCCTGACATGTGGCGCAATTGCACGTTGGCCACTGAACAGAGAAACCGCTGCCCAGGGGGCGCAACGTTGTCTGCATGGGCCACCTGTCCCACCCTTGATGGCAGCTCTTCTCGTTTAGTGGACGCCCACCCCTACTCCGTCTCCTCCCGTCCACGCCATGTACATTTATCTGTGTAAGCTGGGGAGACTCCCGAGGGCCAGACTTGTTTTGCATCCGCAACTCTGTGTGATGACTCGTCCCGGAGCTCCGTGAAACGTTGACTGAACGGGCGAGGCCCCTCGACCAAGGAAACCGTGGCCCGAGACAATCACAGTCCACTGGACACTGCTCGAGCTGAAAATGGGATGGGATCGCAGTGTGGGCGGGAGGCTTGAGCACACGTGTCAGCGGCCCTCTCCCGCTTTCCACACGCAACAAAGAATCTATGGCACGCCATTGCAATCTGCGTAAGCTGGGGAGACTCCCGAGGGCCAGACTTGTTTTGCATCCGCAACTCTGTGTGATGACTCGTCCCGGAGCTCCGTGAAACGTTGACTGAACGGGCGAGGCCCCTCGACCAAGGAAACCGTGGCCCGAGACAATCACAGTCCGAAACCTTAAAAACTCGAGCACCAGCGAATTTTAAAACCCTGGCCTTAGGCCTCCACAAACCTGTCCAGGCTCAGAAACGAATGGTTTCGCAGAGCCTGTTGGAAACACTTAGCTACCAGCCTGCAAAAATCTTTTGGGCACGGTTCTGCGATGTGCGTCCAGAAAATGCCTGAGGCATCTTTGCCCTCGAGGACCTGATGGGGGCGGCGGCTAAAACTGCAGACCCCACGGCCCGAGCATTTATAGGGGATGAGCGGGTCGAGGTTGAGATGGCAGTACAGCAGCCGAGTGCGTTTGCGCCAAGGGGTCGAGAACGCGCAGAAATCAAAGTCCACAATACGAGTGTTACGAATTCGAATGAGACTGCGCGCACCTGGAAGCTGCCACAACCAGGATGTGCTGGGATTCTCAGTCACTACTGGCATGTTTAAACTGCGGGCAAGCAAGAAAAGAGAGAAGCTGAAAGTGGCAAGTGCGTTTCCTCTCTCGACCTTGAGCTGATCTCCTGGCGACAGGCCTGGCAGCCCCAGCGGAAACAAAGCCGTCCGCAAGGGTGGTGGCCCGTTGGGGCGGTTGCGGGCGCGGCTCATGGACTGGCAGGGCGTCGCAATCCAGATCGCGACGATGAGCCGACTCCGCACCCAGCCTCGAACCTGCTGCCTGATCCGCCTGAGGAGGAGGTCGCTGTCGGCGTCGTGGCGGATGTCCAGCTCGAAAGCGGCATGCTGCGAATGGAAACGCAGGCGCCACGCTGCCGCCATCCGCCCGGAGCCGCTGAAGACCTCCAGGAAGACGCCTGATCTGGAGTGTCTCACCCACGATGCCAGCTCGCCGACGGGGTGGCGCCAGGCCCGCGGAGCGCCTGCTCGGCACGTAGCGGCAGGGCGCGCGGCAGCCCGCGAAGCTGCTCCTGCACCTGCCTCCCCTCGGCGTAGCATTGAAGCGCGGCGTCGGTCGACCACCTGGCGCGCATGCGGATGTCCCGCAGAGGCCGCGCCGCCGCGAACAGCTCGTGGCTTGCGCCAATGTGCCCGTGCATCAGGTTGCTCCAGACCTGCAGGCCGAGCCCGGCAAAGACGGCCTTGACGTGGCCGCTCCACTGCGCCTGGGCCACCGGAAAAGGGCGGTGGCCAGCGGGCGTCCGGTGGTGCGGCTCCTGCTCGGGGCTTGGCGCCCACGGGGAGCGGGTGAAGCCCGCCCGCAGGGTCTCGTCGAACATGTCTGTCATGGATGGGGTCTGCAAGTCGGACAGCTGGAGGACCATGCACCACTGGTGCAGCGCCGCGGCAGGGGTGAGCCTTGGCGGGATGAGCTGCGACTGCACGAAATCCAGCGCCTCACGCGGCCTCGGGTACAGGTCGAGCGTGGGCGCAGTGGGCCAAGCGTACTCCCCCAGGCCCCTGCAGCACAACGTCTCCACGATGAGGCACACCACAGGCCGTGAGAGCGTCAGCCGCGGCCGCGGCGGCGCCAGGCAGGACCAGGTCTTGGCTGCCCGTGCCGCCCACAGCTGGCGCCACTGCCGCGGCCCGAGGGTCGAACGCACGAAGGCAAAGGCCGCCATCAGCATCCACGCGGCGCTGCTCTTGCCCCCGTCCAGGAACTCCTCCAGGAGGGTCAAGCCCTGGCGGGGGGCCGCAGCCGGGAGGAAAGGAAAAAGGTTCGCCTCCCCCTGCTGACGGACTGCCCAGCGGTCGCCCTCGGCTGGGCGCGCTGCAGTCTCCGGCGCTGCATGCGGCCTGCCCTGCAGCTGGCAAGCGCCCACAGCACCCGCAGCCGCAGTCGGCCTCCTGCGAGCCCGCATCGCCGGCGCGGCAGGGGCCGCCCTGTCGCCGAGGACCGACACCAGCATTGCCGCCGTCATCCTCCCAGAGGCCCAGCGCCTGGGCGGGCGGGCAGGACGCGTCGAGCTTCGATGTCTTGGTCCGCACGGCTTCGGGGGTGTCACCAGCCTGGTCACGAGACGCTGGATCTGCGCTGTTATGTTCTGATGGGACCCAACGCCAGATAGCAGATGAACCTGAAGCCAACAAAAGAGCACATGCCTGACGACAGATTCTCAGAAGCGGGGGCGACGATGATCTGCCCTTGAGAAGGGCCAACACGGGGGCCATGGAGTCATTCAAGATGATGTGCGTGGTGTTGAAGTTTCGAGCGGCTCGCAATCGATGTTTCAGACACAAGACTAATGCTCTCCCCTCCAGCACCACCTGAGCCTCCCTCCTGGTCCACGGTGTAGATAGAACCCGATGCCATCCTTCCGCCCAGACCTCCTCGGGCACCTCCTCGAACGTGATTTCCTCCCCCTGATTCGGCTTCGGCTCGACTCGGAACGGGACCTGCTGCTCCATGGCTGCTGCTATGACTGCTGGATCGCGGTAGGGCTCCGACGAGGCTTGCTTGATGCATGACGAGGTGATACGCTGAGCTTGCTTGCTCTCCGAGGCTAAGGCCTTGTCGCGAGGGGCGACCTGTTGCTCGCCATCCCGACTGAACCTCCATCGTTCGTTGAAGATAGACAAACGACGAGCTTGGTCCGAGGTGATGGTCTTCTCTGTCACACCAGCGCCCCACCACGAGGCGTCCACGCAGGACACGACAGGCGACAAGGGCCGCCCGGCGTCTCGAAAACACAAAGGCAGCAGTGCGCGGCACCAAGCCAGTTCCCGTCTCACTGCCGGCGTCAGCCGCCGCCTCTCGCGGCCGCCGTCGCCCATGAAGCCGTACGCGGCCCCTAGGCAGCTCAGCAGCTCTCGACGAAATAGCGCCCTCGAAGTGAAGTGCGATATCACCTTCATCATGGTGTGACCGCTGCGCCAGCCTTGCTCCAGCAGCTCGCCGATGCCGAGGCGAAGCTGCCAGCGTAGCCGAACGCTGAGACCGATCACGGGCTTGTCCTCGTCAAAGTGCCAGCCCAGCGTGTCCCCGCCGACTGATGCCTCCACGGGGTGCGAGGGAAGGTCTGAAACAGTCAGCTCCCCCTGTACTGCAGTAGCTGCATCACGCACCTCGCGCAGCCTGTGGGACAGGGCGATGAAGTTGTCGACGTAGACCGCGTGCGCCATTCCCTGCTGCAGGTCAGGCGCGGGCCGACGGTCCACAAGTCGACGGCCAAAATGGCCAGGAAGCGCTCGGGCGGTCACCGCCTCGTTCAGGCTCTGGCATATCCATAGGCCGATGCTCCAGCCCATCCGCGGGCACCGAAAGCACGGCACCACCCAGGCCGAGGGTCTCACGGGCGTGCCGTCGGACAGGTTCACCAGCCCGAGGTCGCCAGCCCTCACCTTGGGCAGCCCGAAGTAGCGGCGCAGCCACTGTGGGAGCTCGATCTGGTAGAACGCGTCGCAGATGTCGACCCCCCCGATGCTGATGGGCTCGTCGCCGTCGACCGAGATCTGGGCGAACGCCGAGCCCGTCGCCAGCTCCACGGGGTCTGCGGGCGCAAACCTAAGCGAAACGTGCCTCCCGTCGAGGATCATCCGCAGCGACCCGTTCTTCTTGCGTACGAAAAACATGCCAACGTAACACTCCGCCGAGCTGCTGAAGCCCACCAGCCCGGCGCTCATAAGCCGCCGCACCACCATCTTATAGAGGCGCGGGTTGCGAAGGGCAGGGTCCGTGTAGAGCCGTCTCGGACCCACCTCCTTGATGCGCCCCATCCCCAGCTGTTGGGGCAAGAGTAACTCTTTCAGCCGGCGAGCGATGTTCTGGCCTGCCATCTCGTCGATAGCCTCCAGGGCGGCGGGCTGGCTGCCGGCAGGAGGCAGGGAGATGGAGTCGACAAGGTCGAAACTCACCGGGGCAACCAACGTGGCGTCACCCTCGCATGATTGAGATATCCGGAGCTCCTCGAGGGCTCCTGGACCGTCCAGGCCCTCTGGGCACGGGCCAAACCTCACAGCGGCTTGTCGGGGCTCCGAGAGGACGAGGGCGTGGCCAGCGGCAGGCACCGGCATGCCAGCGGGCGCTTGACGGCGCGCCACGGGCGGGCAGCCCCACAGGTCGTTCAGCGCGTCGGTCATCTCCTCGACCATGCCGTGAACGTGCGACCGCTTCTCAAGGCGCCTGCGCGCTGACCTTGAAGGCGGGGAAGTCGTAGTGGGAGAAGAGGCTCCAGCGCCAAAGCAGGGTAAAGGAAAGAGATCACGCTGGCGAAGGTCGGCGCTGGAGTGGGAAGCCACATGTACAGGTAGATCCGCTGCACCCGCGAGGCCCACGGGCACCCCCTCTATCAGCCTGGTTGACTCTCGGGCGAGGAGCACCCGAGAGCCGCCCGCGTCGCTCATGATGTTTGAGCGCGACGCTCCTCACGGGCCATCCTGATCTGCTTCAGGTTCCCTGCGTCGCGCTCCATCTGGTTGGAGACGTGCTCCAGCAGCAGCGGGCATATCCTCGAGCGGCCATCCTCCTTGGCCGCTCCTGTGAACACCGCCGCTTCGTCCACGATGCCGTACCGGGGGAGCCCTCCTCCCCGACCTCGGCCCTTCTTCTTGCCGTTGCCCTCATCGCCGCCCCTCGAGCCTCCCGACTGCTGCGCCTCGAACTCCGTCGAAGGCCTGTACTCGTAAAGCTGCGCCTGACGAATGGTCAGCTCCGCCGCCACCAGGTCGAGGATACCCCACTGGTCCCAGCACTCGAGCTGCTCAATCATCCTCACTATGCTCGCACAGTGAGCGACCCCGAAGTCCTCCCTCGTGAGATCGGAGAAGGCAACGAAGCTGTTGTAGTGCTCCTCAGGACCGTTCCTCGGCCTGTCGATGAACTCCGCGCACCATGGCATGGTCCCGATCCCGTCGAGCAGCCACCTGGGGAAGTGATTTTCCACCATCGTCGGCACCGCCTCGTGCCATCTCAGTCGCTGCCAGGAGCCGCCGGGTCGAGGTGGCACGCCCAGCAACCTGACGTCCGCCCCGCCGACCGCGCACCGGTACACCAATGGATCCCACGAGATCCTACGGATGGCGTCCCAGCCTGCGGTCAGTCTCGGGAGGCCGATGTCACACTCGGTCCGCTCGGCCCCGTTGAGCAGGACAGCGTCGCCACGATTGCCACCACCGGTGCTCTCGATGGGCACCCCCAATGGGGCCTGCACGGCGGGCGGCCCAACCACTCCGGCCACGGCCGGCGGCGCTGCGCCAGCGGCGCCCGCTGGGGCGCCGGCGACCGGCCCGGCGGCGGCCGCGAGGGGCCCTGCGGCGGGGGCGGTGGCGGCGCCGGCCCGGGCCGCGCGCACCAGTGGCGCGGGCGGCGCTGCTCCGGCGGCGGCTCCACCCGCGGGCCCGCGAGCGGCAGGGCCAGCGCCAGGACCGCCTGGTCCAGGGGCGGCTGAGGTGAAGTCGAACTCCAGGTAGGAGCCGCCAGCGAGGAGCAGGTGTGGCCCGCCATCAACGGCGCTCGCGGTCCGAGTGCAGCTCGTCAGCCCCCTGCGCGAGAGCGTCCTGGATGGCGACCGCCTCCCACGTGCTCGGCACGCGTCTGAACCCGTATATCTGGTGCGGGTCCACACCCCGCAGCGCCTGGTGCGTCGGGCTGAAGGCCACGGTGACGATGTCTGTGCTCCTCTGACCGTACCGCTCCTCGTACACGACCTGAGCGGTCGCCTGGCAGTGGACCACACCACACGAGAGGGCAGGGCACGACGCCGACGGGCTCGCTGGCGAGGAGGGATACGAAGGCGCCGTAGGACACGGCGGCGCTCGCGATATCCAGGCCGCCAGCAGGCTGGAACTTGCGCCCAAGAGCCACACGAAGGGTCTGCTAACCATCCGCGCCTCTGCCTGGACAGGTGCCCCCAGCTCGCTGGAATAAAGGCTTGAGCACACGTGTCAGCGGCCCTCTCCCGCTTTCCACACGCAACAAAGAATCTATGGCACGCCATTGCAATCTTCATCCCCGCCATCCTGTATCTCGCCAGGTAGTCGATAAACGGCCCCTTCGGTTTGCGAGCGACTCTTGAAAAACAAATATCGAAATCCGTCGGCAGCGCCGTTATCTGGTCATATTTGCATAACCTGTCCTGCGGTTCCAGGAGTTTCGATCTCGTCTATCGGCATGTCCTCGACGATGTCCCGCGCGCCACAAGATTTGAATGATCTCCAAGCCAACGAACTTCTCGCTGTCTTTGCCTCGAGCTCGTGCTGCGTAGATACCCATCCTCTTTCTGAACGCCGTGTCATTCTTCAGCGAGCCGTCGAACTCTGGTGCCCGGCCGCCATAATGTGTGCCGTTGTCGCTGCCTGTTTTTACTTTTGCTGGTGCTGCGCCACCCTTTGTGCTCGGTGGTCCCATGCGTGCTGCTGTTCCCGTCCATGAATCAACGGTTCCCGCGACCAATGTCAATCAGTATCGAAGCTTTCTAGGTCCTCGACCGTATCGAACCGAAAAGTTAAACCTCTTGTGCAGCTTCTCCTCGCCCTTCTTGCCAACTATGGCTCTGCCTGCCGGGTTGAAGGAAACGAAACCTTTTTGACTGCGCGAGAAGCGTCTCGAGCTAAGCAGTTACGGATCGCCCGTCTCTCCTCATGATCTATCATGGTGCCTGCTTTGCGGAAAGAGGAAGGGAAATCCAGCAACATGTTGTCAGACACCTCCGAAATCCTCCGAAACTCCGTCATATGAAATATAACTCACACTCCTCCTCCTCCTCCTCCTCCTCCTCCTCCGCCTCCTCCGTAGCCATTTTGGCTCAAGGTTTTGATTCCCTCGGGGTCAGAGTGGAGACCTCTGATCCGAGGACAGCTCTCAGCAGTTGCGGCCTGTTCGCCCAGGTCAGGACCGCCCGACACCCAGGTCGGGCCGCCTTTGTGAGCACGGCGCCACCATGCCGAGGCGCCAGACGTACACGGTCTGCAGCGGCTGCAGCAACTGGGTGTATGATTGGAAGCTGCAGCGCACGGGAGGCTGGTGCAACAAGTGCAACGACTACCTCAGCGGGTGGAGTGAGCAGCCGCCGTCTGCGGGCCGCAGCCAGCGAGGGGATGGCAAACCCCCGTGGGCAAAGCAGCCAGTCACTTCGCCCGCGGACGAGCTGCAACACATCATCAACAAGTTCCAGCTGGGGAAGGGCGCCTACGCCACAGCCAAGGCCATGGTCGACCTTGGCCCGCTGCAGGCGCTCCAGGCCCAGCTCACAGCCAAGGCGCCGACGCCCGCGGAGACCCCGAAGGCAAAGGCGCTCAGGCAGGCGATCAGCAACTTGGACCAGAAGAAGGCGGCGCTGGCGAAGGCGACGAGCCAACTCGCGGAGGCGGAGCGCTGTCTCGGCGTCGCCACGGAGAGGCACAACAAGGCGCTGGAGGAGGCAGCTGACGCGGAGGAGGAGCACGAGGCAGTCCTGCGGGCGTACTCCAGCGAGGCCATCCCCTCACAGGACGAGGCTTCGGCTACGGAGTGGAAGGCGCCCGAGGTGGATCCCACGCTCTTCGACAACCTGGACGACTTCGAGCCTGAGGATAAGAAGAAGCTACTCAAGTTCAAGTCGGATCTGTCGTCCCTCGCGAAGCTGCTGGAGAGCGCCCAGAAGCAGTACACGGAGTTCACGGAGCTTAAGAAGCAGGCGGACGCCATCCACGCTTCCCACAAGGCGAAGAAGCGGAAGGCGAACACAGGCGAAGAGGCACCAGCAGCTGCACCTCCACCAGCAACTGACGACGACTCCAAGGCAACCGCTGGCTCTGAGGCGGACAAGCAGCCGTCAGAGGAGGAGGTGCAGCAGCGCAAGGACAGACTGGAGAGGCTCCGTAACGACGCGAAGGTCAAGACGAATCCGAAGCAGGAGCCTGCTCAAGCTGAAGGCGCTGCTGCTGCTGGTGGCCATCGCCTTTAGCAAGGTGTTCTTCTCGAACATCACGCAATGGGGCCCCAAGGCCCACAAGTTCATCAACGAGCAGGGCAACGACATGGACATAATCATGATGTGCGAGACGCACTTGGCGCAGGATCAGATGAAGCAGGTGAAGGTGGACGTGGCGAAGGACGGCTGGAAGTCGGCGGGCACAGCGGCGGTGCCCACGAAGCGCTCGGCGAACGGGACCTCGGGTGGTGAGCTCATCCTGGTCAAGTCTCACATCGCCTGCTCCACCTACGACACCATCAGAGAGAGGCTGCAGAATGACGGGAAGAAGGACCCCTTCTACGGCTTCACGGCGGTGAATCTCCACACCAAGGCGGGCAACGTGGTCTTGGTCACAGCATATTGGTTACCAGGAGCTGGTCTGCACGGACCCAACCGAGAGAGGGTCAGAGCGCTGGCAGGATTCGTGAAGGCGCTGGCGGACCCGTGGGTGGTCTTGGCGGACTGGAACGTCACCTTCGCGGACATTGCCAAGACGGGCTACGTGCAGCAGATCGGCGGAGCGCTGGTCAAGCCAGACGTGGAGGTCACCTGCGACAAGGGGAAGGGCAGCCTGATCGACTACGGCATCGCAAGGAAGGACTTCGCGCACAAGGTCAAGCTGGAGGCAGTCCGCACGGTGCCTTGGCGAACACACTGTGGACTGACGCTCACGCTGGAAGGCTCGGCGACGGCCTGGTGGCACCGCAAGATGCAGATACCGAAGGAGCTGGCGACACCGCCGCGACCGAGGAAGTTGGCGGATCCGAACAGCAAAAGGACCCGCAAACGACAGGAAGAACGGCAACGAGCAGAGGAGCGACTGGAGCCACACCTTCGGGAAGCCTTCCAGGAGCAGGCCATGATCGAAGAAGCGGAGTCAGAGAAGAAGGTTAAGGACTTCTACATCACAGATGGGACTTGGACGGCGGCGGTGGCGATGGCGAGCTTATCAGGTTCGAGCTCGACACCCTCGGCGTCCCAGATAATTCTTTTCGGGGGCAGCCAGGGCCGCACCCCACCTCCAGCCTCCAGCGCGTGGCCGCTCCTTGCGAGCGTTGAGCCGCCTGAGGCTGTCGGCCCTCCAAGCATGGAGGATAATGGGGTGCTGGCGTTCCCTGCTGCTTGGCCCGCCGCATCTCAGAGGACCTCATGCTGGCACCTGTCTAAGGAGCTCCAGTCATGGGACGACAAGCTCATCATCCGAGACGTCAGGCACCGCGAGGCAGAGGCAGCAGCGACGAGGATGTACGGCGACTGGGTCACCTGTCTGGAGGAGGCGGCGATCCTCACGGATGAGATCGACGAGGAGGAGGCCGAGCACTACAGAGGACGGGCTTCGGGCTTCGAGGTCAAGTGGGTCAAGGCGCGTTCGACACCAGGTCGCACCCACATGAAGTTCGGTCCAGCGGAGCAGTGGGGCATCCTCAACGCCATCCTCATCAGGTACCAGGCGCTGTACACCAACGGCACCGACGGCAGGCAGCAGGCAAAGTGCTTGGTGGAGGCAAAGGCGCAGGGCAAGGTCCTCCAGCAGATGGATCAGAGCCAGGTCTTTGGCAGGAAGCACGGCACTGCACAGCAGCAGATGTTCTACGATATACTGGACGACCTGGCGGACTTGGATGAGGGGCAGCTCGGCAACTTAGTCATGCAGGCAGAGGGCCACCTCGCCACTGCGCAGGCGCGTGGCTTCACGGCGCAGCAGAAGAACTTCACGGCGTGGGCAAAGAAGGCATGGGCAGGCAAGGTCGGCCTCCTCCATCGGCACGTGAAGGAGCAGCAGGCGCCGAGGTTCGAGCTGTGCACGGAGGAGATGGAGGGCATCGCGGACCCAGACGCCCTCATTGGCATCAGGAAGCACGAGTGGGAGCGCATATGGACGGACCCAGTGGACACGAAGGAGGACATCGCGTACCAGCTGGGCAGGCTGCGCGATCAGTCCTGGGAGCACGTGCTGGAGCCCCTCACGCTGGAGCAGCTCGACGGGGCCATCGGCGCGTCGTCGTCGGCCAAAGCAAAAGGAGTTGATCATCTTGGGCCGCACGATCTGGCTCGGGCTCCCAGAAATGCAAGAATATGGTTACTTCACATCTTACAGTATTGCGAGCAGGAGGTCACATGGCCGAGGCAATGGGTAGCCACCAAGTGCGCTCTGGCGGCCAAGCCCAAAGGAGGAGATCGGGTACTCGGTATGCTGGCCCTCCCCATCAAGCTCTGGTCTAGGGCTCGGGGAGGGTGCTGCACAGAATGGAGTGACGCGTTATCGGCCCATTGGGACACAGCCCTCAAAGGCAGCTCAGCCCTCCGCGCGGGGCTCCTCAGGGCGTGCCTGGACGAAGTGGGGGCAGAGCTCGGAGCATCGGCGATGACGCTTCTGTTGGACATTGAGAAGTTCTACGACACAGTCTCGCTCGTCATCCTGTCCCAGATCGCCCTCAGAGTGGGATTCCCCGCAGTGGTGGTGGCGTTAGAGATCACAGCGTTCGTGGGCCCGAGGTACCTGCAGGAGCGCAACATTCTCAGCGAAGCGATCTGGTCCACGAGGTCTCTGGTAGCAGGCTCTGCCAGAGGCGTGGGGTTGGCGAAGCTGTTCTTGCACCCGATATTAGACAGGGCGCATCGGAGGTCGCCACAAGCTTCGCTGTGGACATTCGTGGACGACACGGTGGCGAGACAAGAAGGTAGCAGGCAAACAGTCGGCGATGGCATCATCCAGGTCACGGAGATCATCACGGACGGCCTCAAGGAGCAGAGGATGAAGATCTCCAGCAAGTCGGTCCTGATAGGCACCCACCCGAAGGACGTGAAGCGGACGGCTAAGTCCATGAGGAAGAGGCAGATCCCCGTCTACGCAGTCACGGAGGCACTGGACCTAGGCCTGGATTCGTCGGCTGGGAGGAAAAGGGTTACGACGAAAGCGAAGCAGCGTGCCAAGAGAGCGAAGCACAGGTTCGCCAAGATCGTGAGGCTGCGACGCACCGCGGCCTTGGCCAAAGAGAGTAAAGGATTATGGACGGCAGGAGCAGTACCACAGGCAGTGTACGGCCACCAAGCTTTCGGGTTCGCAGTCCATGAGCTCCAACGCCTACGACGACAAGCTGGACAGGTGGCAGGAGGTAAGGCGCGTGGCCGATGCTTGACGACGACACTGGCGGTCGAGTTGTGGAAGGGCGATCCAGGGGTGGCAATACGAGTTGCCGTGGTCAAGGAGTGGATCAACATGTGGCAGCGCTACCCAGAGAACCACGCCAGGATCGTCAAGGCATGGCCGCGGATATTCGACCGTCTGTCAAAGCTTGGGGCAAAACGCTGGAGAGGAGTTCGCGGACCAGTCGGAGCGGTGCAGGCGACCATCATGGACGTGGGCTGGTATGTACCAACGGCGACGGTGTGGATGCGACCAGTCGGAGCAGAAGAGGATCCAGCAGAACAGTGGGACATCCCGTCCGCCACGGACGGCACGTTCGACAACACGGGGTGCTTCCAGCAGCTGATAGACGACTTCGAGGACGACATCGTAGCTCAATACTGGAAGGCTGCAGCAGCACACCCACATGGTGAAGGTCTGGAGGATGGAGCGGATGTCTGGCAGATCCGCGCAGAGCAGCGAAGGTTCGAGAAGCAGGGGCAGCTGGACATGGTCGGGGCCAACATCGCCGTGGTCGCGGGAGGACAGTGGCCGAAGCAGCGATCCGTCGACCAAGGATACCTCCTGGACTGCAAGAAGTGCGATAGGTGCAAGGAGGAGGACGAGACCTTGATGCATCGGATCTGGCTATGTCCCAAGAACGTGGACCACGAGGACTTCACCAAGTCGGCGGACCTCCTGCCGGCTGCGATGGCGCAAGCTGAAGCAGAGCCAGCGCTGTGGCTGCGAGGACTGCCGCCAGCCTCTCTCACGCACCCTAGGTTTAATGATGAACTGTTAGAGGGGAGGGAGGTTCGGTTTGGTGAGCTGGGGGACTGGGAGGAGTGTCGGTACGAAGGAGAGATCCACATTTTCGGCGACGGCTCAGGAGGGAAGCACTCCTCGGACCCTCGCCGACGCCGCTGTGGATCAGCGATTGTAGCATTGCAGGTGCGCGACGGGGAGTGGAGTGTGGGTCGTGCTGTTGCAGTCCCACTCCTCGGTCGCAGGCAAACGGTCCCCCGCTCTGAGATTTTAGCGTTCGCTTTGGCGCTCGAAGAGTGCCACGCTGATTTTATTTTCATTACTGATCACAGGACGATCGCGAAGACCTGGAAATACCGCATGGAGCACCCTAAAGCCACGGGTCCCAATGAGGACCTTTGGGCCCGAGCCAGAGTGGCCTGGCAGACCCACCCAGACAGAGTTGTAAAGGTAGAGTGGACGGCGTCCCATCTGGACGAGACGCCTGAGCTGCTTGAATCGCCGCGGCAGCTGTTCTTGGCAGCAGGGAATTTAGCAGCTGACGTCTGGGCGGGAGTCGGGGCGGAGCTGGCTTGGGAGTTCGGGCTGGTGGGGAGGGTTCCTGAGACTGACAAGATAGACGCGATCGCACACCTCGTGCGGAAGAGAGCGCGCAGAGCTTTGCTACTGGCCGCCGCGTCGGAGACGTCAGAGCGTGCTGGTAGAGCCCCAGTAAGTAAGAGACTTTTAAAGCAGGAGAGATTGATCCGAGATTCTCCCCACCAGCTAGAGCGTGTTGGAAGCAAATGGAGGTGCTCACAGTGCGACGTGATCGCGACTGGAGCCAGGTTTTTGCGTTTTTCGGTTTCTCCGTGTCCTGGGCCCCCTGGCAAAACCAGGTCGGTGGTCCCTGAGTTCCTGCCGATTAAAGGAGTGGACCTTGAGATCCACGAATCCCACACGATCACTAGGGTCGATCGCTGGTTCTTGCAGATCTGTTCGGTCTGCGGCATGTATGCGACTGTGGACTCGAGGTCCTTGCGTCTGAAGTGTCGAGGTCTCACACCGAACGGTGCCGAGAATATTCGTCGAATTGAATTAGGTCTTTTCCCTCGGCGTGAGGGCCCCCCCAGAGCCATCAAGATGGCCATTGCTCGCAGAGATGAGGGTCGTGTCGTGTCGGCCCACGAGGCCAGGGGTTCGCAGGAGAACAGCGAGCGTGGGGGGGGCCCCACCGAGCCTCCCGCGGCGACCCGCGCCCGCAACGACGGGCACGAGCGGGAGCAGCCGAGCAGTGCAGCCAACGAGTCGCGCTTCCAGGCAAACGTTCAGAGATTGCTGGCTGCTGCGAGAGGCACGGCTGCGCATGTGCGGGCGCCGCGGGAGGATTCAGAGTCTTCCGATTGACGGCAGATGCCCGTAAGCCAGGACGGAGACTGAGGGACAGAGGTCCGAGAGCAAAGAGGTCCAAAGAGGTCCTCCTCCGCCTCCGCCGCCGCCGCCGCCTGCCTCCTCGTCCGCCTCCCCCTCGCTCACCTCCTCCCATGCATACTCCGCCGCCTCATTTTGTCATTATTACCCTCCTCCTCCTCCTCCTCCTCCTCCTCCTCCTACCCCTCCTCCCCATGACATCTTTCTTCCCCCCCCTCCTCCCCATGACATCTCACCCTGTGATTCTTCCCCTCATCCTCCTCCCCCTCCTCCCCATGACATCTTTCTTCCCCCCCTCCTCCCCATGACATCTCACCCTATCATTATTCCCCTCCTCCTTCTCCTCCTCCGCCTCCATGCCATCTTTCTCGGCGCCTCCAGTGCCGCCCCTGGCGCGCTCCGAGCGCCGCTCCAAGAAAACAGCACGAACCACCGAAATATGCGTACCGAGGGTCTCTCTCCCACAGCCTTTCGTGTTCCCTCCCTGCCATCTGCTTATGCCACACATGGCCGACGCCGGTGATTAAGTCTACTTTTGAAAGCGATGCTCAGGGCCCAACCGCCGCGCGCGCTGTGCCGACTGTTAAACTTTCTCCGCCTCGTCGCTGCGCGCGAGGTCGCTACCGCCTAAACATGTGCACGCAGAGTTATCAGCTAGAGGAAGATGAGATGGAGGAGGAGAAAGAGGGGATCCCCCCTCCTCCCTCTCCCAACCCCCGACAGAGACCACGACCAGGGACCACGGGCCACGACTGAGACCCCGGGGCCTCCGATTTCTGTGGGTCGCGGAAACCCCGAGACCCTGAGACTCCTGGGAAACCTCACATGGGGTCCTCACGGGGGAACTCGCCTCCTCCTTCTTCACCTCCTCCGATCTGTGTCTGCTCCTCCTCTCTCGTCCCTGGGACGGGCGGGAAGAGGACGCGAGGAGGGACACGTGCGGACGACGAGGAAGGTCACGAAGAAGTGGAGACGTGGGGGGGGAAAGGAAGTGAGGGGGGGCGGGAGGTGGCGAGGGAAGCCGCGGGGAAGAACCGGGGAGCACGGGGAGCAGGTGCAGGAGAACGGACTTACCCCTTTTCCCCTTCGCCTCCTCCACCCCCGCGCGGGGCGGGCGGCGGGGCAGGCAGCAGTGGTCGGGGAGAGCGTGCGGTGCACCGAATGTACCTTCCCGCGGGCTGGAGCTCGCATCGCGCCTGGAAGCTCTGGCGTGGCTGGCCCGACATACACCGCGAGTCCCCCCCCCCATGGGGACACGGAGCGGTACCGATGCCACGACTCCTCGGCCCTCTCCCGGGATGCCCTGTGGCCAGAATCTCATGGAGAAATCCGGCCGTGGCGACAGAGGCTCTCCATGGCGAGCCGCGGCATCGGCACCGCTTCCTCCCCCGCCCCCCCAGCGCGGCGTGAAGGTCTTCGCCGAGCCGCGGGAGCCCGCCGCGCCGCCGAAGCTCTCGGGAGCCTACGGGAACAGCAAAGTGTGCGAGCAGCAGCAACAGCAACAACATCAACACCAACACCAACATCAATAACACTAACAACAACAACAACAACAACAACAACAACAACAACAACAACAACAACAACAACAATTACTAGCACGTGGGGACACTCCGTTCTCACCAGTGCCAGGGTTTTCATAGGAGGCGGGCAATACCCCCACTTTGTGGGGGGGCCGGTTCAAGCTCTACCAAATTTCCAAACGACTCTTCGCCACCACCCACACCCAGCTTCCCGCCCTATGACGTTCGGACACTTCACTTCGTGGCATGCGGACGACCGTGGCTACTATTCAGGGCCCCGCGGCCGACGACGACGGCGTGCGCGCGCGAAGAAAAAACGAATGTGTCCCGCATGGTATTATTTGACAGGGATGATGGCCCTGGCAGGTGCGCAACCGTTGTCGCAGAAGTTCGAAAAAGTTGCTCGCAAAAGCCCGTTTGACAGAAATGTTTAAAAAGTGTTGGGTTTCCTACGAATCCGCAAGAGCGCGCGGGATGAGATTTTGACATTTTTTTGTTGAAAAACCATTGTTTTTTTGATGTTTTTATGTTGAAATCGCTCCGAACACTAAGCTTTTGGAAGGATTTCGTCTTGCGCGCGCGAATGTCCACTTTACCTTATTTTTTGCAAAGGATTCTTGAAATTTGATTATATTAGAACAAGAAATGTCATTTTATAGTGTTTTTTGCAAGGGAAAGCGGGGGGAAACAAAACAACCGGATCTTGATCACATCGAATTACCTGAGGCTTCCTCACGAAAATGATGAAAATGTAGCTGCGGCCTAGGCGGCGCAGGGGGGCCGTGCACCAGGGGTCCCAACAATAATTATTCTTTAGAATTAATAATGTTCAACAACAACAACAACAACAACGGCTCCCACCTGATACATCCTCACCATTTATTTCCAAGTCGCGCTCCCGCGTGGGACTTCCTCACAATTTATTAAGGAATCGCGCTACCGCGTGGGAGATCCTCGCATTTTTTTTTGTCAGACGCCGCGCCCTCGACATTTAGGAGTCGCGCTCTCGCTGTGGATTTCCTCACGATTGATTTGGAAATTGAGCTGTCGGTGAAGATTTTCCCGCGATTCATGCAGGACGCACGCTTGAACAACCCGCTTGCTCGACCTTTTGAGGAATCATCATTGCTTTTCCCCCCTTTACCCGGGGCTCGCACACTTTTTGTATGTCTGTTTATATGAAAAACAAGGACAGTCTTGAAGCGTACCGTTGGCCCTCATTTTACAGCAACAGCGGCTCGCGCTTGATTTTTCTCACAATGTTTGAAAAATCGCGCTCTCGCTTTGGACTTCCTGTGAATTTACCACCGAATCGCGGCTCCCGCTTGATACTTCTTGACCATGTATTGTAGAATCGAGTTCTCGCTTGGGACGTCCCCGCAACTTACCACCGAACCGCTTCGCTTGATATTTCATCCTAATAGGTTCAGATGCTGGCCTTCGACATTCAGGAGTCGCGCTCCAGCTACATGTTGCCTGGCGGTTGAAGCAGGACTCACGCTTCAACGACCCGCCCGTTCGACCCGCCCGTCGGGGCCTGCCCGACCGACCAGCCCGTTAATGACTGCAGTCGCCGCTCGCTGCCCTTCGGCCGCCTTCGATGCCCCTCGCTGCTCGTACTGGTTCCGCGGTCGCCTTCGCTCGCTGCCCTTCGTGGCCCCGTTGCTGCCCTCAGTGGCTCCGTCGCTGCCCTTTGTGGCCCCGCATTATATGCCCTTCGTGGCCCCCGCTCGCACGCGCCCGTCGTGGCCCCATACGCATGCCCTTCGTAGCCCCGCTGTCGCCCTTCGTGGCCCCCTCGCTGCCCTTCGTGGCCCCTTTGCTGCCCCCAGTGGCCCCGCTGTCGCCCTTTGTGGCCCCGTATACGAATGCCCTTCGTGGCCCCCGCTCGCACGCGCCCGTCGTGGCCCCATATGCATGCCCTCTGTGGCCTCGGATTTGATGCCCTTCGTGGCCCACGCTGGCGTTCCTCACGATTTGCATAGGAATCGCGCCATTCATGCAGGACCCACGCTTCAACAACCCGCCTGCTCGACCTCGTCGCGTGCGCCCGCCTTCCCAACCTGTCCGCTATGGGTCTGCCCACCCGATCTGCCCGTCTGGTTCTACCACTTGTTTTCTGCTCCTTGCCCCCCTCCTGCTAATTTCTCTCGTGCTCCATTCTTCTCCCTCCCCCGTCCACCCGTCCTCTCTTCCTTTGTTTTAGGGGCTGCACCAAATACACGTGGCAGGTAAGGAAGATATACCCCTAACGGGGTACGATCGAAGACGGCGAGGGCGGGTATCGAAGACTTGGGATGCACGTATTGATTAGCACGTGAGAGGATAGGAGCTAACAGGCTTAACATGATTGTTGTGGTTGTTGTTGTTGGTGTTGTAATTCGGGGGGCAACAACGCTGTTTGACCCTAGTTACTTTCCCTGCCCCAAAAAATCGAACCCTAGGGGAAACACTTCAATTGAAAAACACAATGGTATCCGGAGGGGGGGGGACCAACAATAATTATTCCTGTAGCGAGAGCGAACAACAACAGCCACACCAACAAACAATCATTTTAAGACTGTTCGCTTCTCCTGGCATGCGTATCTTGCACTCTGTATACCCCAACCCTCGATACCCGCCCACTTCGTCTTCAATTGCAGCCCCTTTCCGCGGGGAGAATATCTTCCTTGTCGGCCACTGACTGAAGCTCGAGGACCTCTCGAGCGAGAGCGCCGTTCCTGAGCTCGGGAGCCTCTCTGGTCAAGGGGCTTTCGGGATACGTATGGAGAAATATCGAACGGGAACCATGGTCGCCGTGTCTGGGCCTCCACCAACTTGCCTGAATAATGAGAAAGTTTCCAACGAGAGCGCCACTCTTGAGTTCGGGGGCCTCTCTAAGGGCCTTTGCGGACACATCTTGAGGAAGTATCGAACGAGAGCCCTTGTCGTCGTAGTTGGGCCTCCACCAATTTGGCAGAATCGCGAGGACGTCTCGAGCGAGAGCGCTGTTCCTGAGTTCGGGGGCCGTCCTGGCCAGAGGCTCTAAATAAATCGTGAGATTGCAGCAACAACAACAGAAACAACAATGGGAACAATATGATGCTTCCGTGCACCGAGGTCCCACCACATTGTAAGTGCGCACCCTGTGATTCGGAGATTCTTATGAAGCCTGTGAGCATACACTTTCGGAGCTCCGAACGGTCTTCTTGGATCGGTGCTGGAACCCCCCTCCCTGGCGCGCGTGGCGCGCCGGGGGCGGCGCCAGGGGGGCCTAGCGCCGATCGGAGAAACCCGCGCGGAGCTCCGACTCGTGTTGTGGAGTTGGGTGTTACTCATTGAGGGGGAGGGGGGGGCGGGGGGGGGGCGATAAATGGAGGGCGAAGAAGCGCACACGTCTGATGCCCTCTGTGGGCTCCAAGGGGGGCCCAATTTAGGGCCCCTGTTACTCCCATCGCACTTAAAGACCACATCCCAGAATAATTTCGAGCACCCGGAAAAGTGTCGAAAGAGTGTCGAAACAATGTCGGATGAGCGTCTCCCAGGGCCCGACGCGTGAACACCCTCGAGTTTCTGTACTTTTGTGGTGCTCGGGAATCTTTTTGGTGATCAAGCCCAAAGTAGGTTGGAACATCATACAGTGCCGTTGTTTATACATGCTCCGCGTGCGAATCATGTATTAAAAAATGCAAGGGTTTAGTATTAAAAACAACGATGAGTTCATGCATACATTCATTCATACATTAAGCATGTATTAAAATCCGATATGTTTTAAACAAGTCCGATATATGAAACACTGCCCTATAACCTGAGGTGCACGAAAGGTCTTTTCACCCCCCCATCCATCGTTCCCCTTTAGCTAATGTCCGATTGATGCGGCTGTCTCCCCAAACCTGCGACGTCCTGCAGCACGGAGCCCCCGAAATCACCGCCCCTTTCCCCAGGGCCAGCTCTCCATTCCGGGTGACCGCCTCTGCGGGTCCTGGGGGCCTGGCGAGGACCCCTGGAGGTCGCAAACTGACACAACCGAACGTCGTGATTGTTCACCCACGCGAACATGCCTGAGTTCGGGACGCCCGAAGTGCGTACGGAAAGAATGGGTACACTGCCCAACGACAAAGTTGTCCCAAACCAACAGCGGCCGCTGTTGGGCAGGCGGCCTTCTGTCTCGAATGGACACGGGCCGCGGCGGCGTGGACAGCGAATCCTGCTCAAAATGAGCGGGATCTGCTGCTGGGCATTGTGCCCATTCTTTCCGTGCCCATCTCGTTCGTGCAGATGAGTTTGTTCCCCGGGAGCCACGAAAGTGTGCGCCCCGACGCCCGCCGTGCCGCCGAAACTCTCGGGGGCCACGATGTGCGGGGCCCCTCGGTGGGGCCCGTCGGTGGGGCCGAAACCAGCTACGTGCAGCAAATCTCGTAACCCCCCCTTTCTCGGGAGCGGCCAAGAGGGGGATGTCCAGGGGGGGGGGGGGCTAGTCATGACCGGAGGCACGTGCGCGGCCCAGCGGGGGGGCCAAGGACGTAATGAAATAAGAAGAGGCGCCATGATATCTGAGGAGATATCATGGCCCGCGCCATGATACCCACCCACCCCTAGTCATCACCCCCCTCTTTGCCGCCCCCGACCTTTCGTCCTGCCCGATTGTTCCCCGGGAGCCACGAAGGTGTGCGCCCCGCCGCCCGCCGCGCCGCCGGAGCTCTCGGGGGCCACGATGTTGCGGGGGCCCCTCGGTGGGGCCACTCGGTGGGGCCGAAACCAGCTACGTGCAGCAAATCTCGTAACCCCCCCTTTCCCCGATTCCCTGTCCCCCCCTTTCGTCCGGCCCGATTGCTCCCCGGGAGCCACGAAGGCGTGCGCCCCGCCGCCCGCCGCGCCGCCGAAGCTCTCGGGGGGCACGAAGGCGGGGGCCCCGCCGCCCCCCGCGCCGCCGAAGCTCTCGGGGGCCACGAAGGCGGGGGCCCCGCCGCCCGCGGACCTCGCGCGGGGAGGGCGCGCCGACGCCCCCGGGGCGCCGGGCCCGAGCTGCCCGCTCGGCGGCTCCTAGCTCCTCCTCCTCCTCCTCCTCCTCCTCCTCCTCCTCCTCCTCCTCCTCCTCTTCCTCTTCCTTCGCTTCCTTCGATTTCTTCGCTTCCTTCGCTTCCTCCTTCGCTTCCTCCTCCTCCTCCTCCT